GTGCGCCTTGATGTTGTCACACAAAGCGGAGGGACCTACAGTTTTACGCCGACTCCGAACGGCGATTGTATTTTTATGAGAAGCTGTTTTTCATGGCAGAAATACACTCGGAGGTTTGCCATTGCCTGCCGAGGGACGACCGCTGTTAAGAAAAAACCTTTTTTCTATATTTTTGCGATGTTGCTTTGACCAGGGTTTGAACCCAGGCATTGTGGAGTGGAAGCGCGCACTGCTTACCACTACACCACAGCGGCCCTGAAAATAAGATAAACAATTAATAATAGTATATGAGTGGCGTATAATTTCTATAAGCACTATAGTTTCGCCTAACGGAACTCCAAATATTTTCAACGGAGAATATCAGTCACTTCATTGCCCGTGACTCCACTGTATTCAATTACCCAAAAAAAGCTCTGTCTTTGAGGTGATCTCGTCTGCTCTGAGAGCAAAAAGCGCCGCTCTGCTGTCAGAGTGCAAGGTTGTAAGAAACCTCAATGCATTTAAGGCAATATGTTACATGTATTCATACATATCAAAACATATTGCTGCTGTCTTCAAAGCATAAGGCATGCACGTGCATCCCTGCCTTGGGGGATTGAGGTTATGTGTTAATGAAGACATCAAGAAGCGCTTCTCAAATATTCGTTAACTATACCAAAATGACAGCAGCAATTTTGGTTACCCATTCATCTTTGTACATATGTGTGTGTGCGTTTAGCCGACTGTTTATTTAGTGCGTGGGAAGTTTATTGCGTTATGCTGAAGGGAGAAGCGCGGCCAAATGGCAGGTAATATAAAAATCATGTACAATATTATTGGAAAGCATTGCACAAAATGCCACCACTTTGCATGTGTTTGTGTGCGTGTTAGTGTGTTAGTTAATATGACAAAGTCAATCGGCGCAATTGACAGTGGCCATGGCCTGTCAACAATTTGCCTCTCGGTGCACTCATATTCGCATGTGTATGTGCGTGCATATGTATGCGTTTTCCAGCGAGTGCATTGCGCCGACTATGCTGACTAGTAACCGCAGTAATTTATAGCATTTGACACGTGAATTCAACTAGGGTAGCGTCGCCAAAGCGCTGGTCGTCTTCGCAACACCCCTGCAGTGGCCTAGTGCATTGGCACACGCAAGTCACCAGCCATCAGCCATCAGCGATCGTCCACCAGTCACCAACAATCAGATATGTAGTAGACACCAAACGCTGCAGTCAACCTGAATTCATTGCATTGCTGTCTTCTTGGTACCGTTACAATGTTAATTGTTTGTTTGCTGTTCGTTTGTCGCTCCGTTTGTTGTCATTGCCATTTAAGTGTTGGGGTGGGTTTGACTTGGCGGTGACTATCGATGTGATTATCTGCGTTACTATAAACTTTGAATGTTGAAATTAATTTTTTTTTTACTGGGCAAGCTACCTTCCTATCTGAGAGTGTGTGAAACTTATTGTGGCACAAATTAATTTTACAAAAAAGTCAACAATGCAACATTGACATTCTTTTTTCTGCTCGTGTTTGCATATTTTTTGTTCTCAAGTTAAGCAGCTATAATTGTAGGCCAAAAGGGTGTATCGGGTGCCTTTTGTACGAATATCAAGCAATTGTGCAATTATCGGCTGTATTGTTTTGTTGCACTGACAATCGGACAGCCACAATATGTTGAAGGTCGTTTATGTTTGGTAATTTGTTTGAGTTACGCTACCGAGTGGTTGCGTGGGTAAATGTTGAGATAGTGAGACATTTATTTATGGTGGGAAATTTTCAGATATTCGATATGGGTTCGCGTTACGGTCTTACGATGAGAAATTCTTTTTGCTTATGCCTACCTATATGAACTAGAAGCCGAATCAGAAGGCTTTGCATCTTTCGTACTGTTTAAAGACCAAATGTGGGCTTCAGTTAAAATTGGATCCCAGAACTGGCTCACAGTACGTATATGGGGCCAGTGAAAATTCTTTATACGTTTTTCAACATGTGCATAGTGCAAAACTTCACTAGTCGGAAGTGTAGTTTGGTCTTGGCCGTCTCGGAAGGTTTCTTGCCAATTAGGGCTAAGTTTGGTGAGAATGTATTTTTCAAGGGTCTTTCCCGACATAACGAAAAATTGGGGCCATGCTAAATTTTCCAGTTCAGAAGACGGACTGGTAAGGTCCTAGTAACAATGTTGAAGATGTCTTTCAAACCGTACTGTACACTTATGTGTGATATTTAGGACCGTTTTCTCAAGTAGTTTTCCTGCCGTAACTATTGCATACAGCAGTATCTCTATTTTGATCCTTATGATCCTTCGTCGAGCAGAGCGACGAGAGATTGATCACTAAATATTGACATGGATTCTTCTGCGACAAGCGCACCACCTGCGCCAACATGCAGTAGCGTTGGAAAGTTTTCTTTCCAAATCTGAAGTGCAGACTGAATGTCTGTTGGAAATGAAACGGCTGCACAGAAAGGCGACGGTTGCGTTTCAAGGCCAAAGCCGAGGGGNGGGGGGGGGGGGGGGGGGGAATGAAAAGAGTGACATTGATCAAGAAAAAAACAAATGCGAAGCCAAAGTTTAAAATCGAAAGTAAGACCAAGACCAAGACCAAGACTAAGACCCAGACTTAGACCTAGACCGATACAGATTTAGACCAGCCCAACACAAAAACCAAGATGAGGAACTAGGCAAAGGGCAAGTACAAGGCCAAGTTAAAAAACAAGCCCAATCCTAAGACCGAGGCCAAGAAGAAGACTCCGACCAAGACAAAGAACAAGAAGTGGATGAAGTTCAGAACCAGGACCAATACTAAGATTGGAACCAAAACGAAGACCAAGACCAGGACCAAGACCAAGCCTAAGACCAAGACCAAGACCAAGACCCAGACCCAGGCCAAGACCAAGTCCAAGACCAAGACCAAGAGCAAGACCAAGACCAAGACCAAGACCAAGACC